TAGCAGCACTCCGTTGCGAGTCAGGCTATTTGTCAGTCGATGTAGCAGCACTCCGTTGTGAGTCAGGCTATTTGTCAGTCGATGTAGCAGCACTCCGTTGCGAGTCAGGCTATAAGATAGTCGATGTAGCAACATTTACGCATGTTTAAAAAATGTTTTTTATTAAATCAATAACAAAAACACCGCTAATTAAAAAAAACTTTCTAGTCGTTATAATTGCGGTTTTTTAAAAATTTTTTAAAAAACAATTAAATTTAATGTACTTCCGCATAAATTAATTGCTTTGACATTTCGATGACAATCAAAAACAGCTTAAGAGACGAGGTAATTAAAATTGTAGTCGTAAGAGACTTTTTTTACATTAAAATGCTCTTAAAGCGACACTATATGAGTATATACATATATATATATATATATATATATATATATATATATATATATATATATATATATATATATATACATATATATATATATATATATATATATATATATATATATATATATATATATATATATATATATATATATATATATATATATATATATATATATATATATATATATATATATATATATATATATATACATATATGTTTTTTTTTTTATTTATTTTGTTTACATAGATCATGTATAACCGAATAAAAGAAAAAATTCTTGTTTTGACAAATATGCAAATTTTTTTTTTTATTATAAATAAAAAGCATGTTAAAAGCAATCTTTAAAAATAACGTAAATTGTACAGAGTTTCATGACTTTAAATAGCATCTAATAAGCTAGATAGGTAAAGCCACTTTTTAATAAATTCCATGAACAATGTTAAATAGAATATAACAAATCAATAATATAAATAAAAATTTTAGTAAATAATTTTGGTTGTTTGTTTTCATATTGGTCTCTAAATCATGCCTAATATCCATTGCTTCACCAAAAAGTTTTACCGCACACTGTTGACACAGTCAGACCCCTTTTTCAACAACCTAGAAAAATGTGCATGCATTGTACAATAGTTTTCTTTATAAGAGTTGATTTCTTTTTGTCAGCAAAAAATAGACAATCTTGCTTATTTAGTTTTTAAAGTGTAAATGTTAAAGTAAAGCACTTTTATGCAATACAACGCTAAAATCAATTTCTTTAAGACAATTTTTTTAAAGCTGCTAGTTTAAAATGACAGTAACAAAACGTTCAGGTAAGCTAATCCAGATTGCTCGAAATACTGTCATTTCAATCCTCTTTACTCTGAATAGTTAAAATTAAACTTTCTAAATAATTTTGCTTGAAGTGAGATGTGAAAATACAGCTAAACTTTTTTTCAATTTAAAAGCTAAACTTTTTTTTGAAGCTCCTGACACAATTTTAACAAAGAGTAACTAATAGAGAATAAATGTTACAATAACAGAGTTATTGTAACATTTATTCTCTGAGCAAGAGCTTTTAAAACACAAAACATTTATTTCTTAATCCCAAATTGAAATACCCTCAACAGTAACATGTTATTTTCCTTTGTTGATACATCACATAGAGCAGGTTTATCAGCATGAAACTTCTTTGAATTCATTAAATTAAAAAGAGTATTATTTTTATCAACAAATTGTTTGGTTAATAAGAAGTCAGTATAACAGTTGATAATAATAATTAATTTAATACTCCAAGAATTTTGGTGCATGACAGATAGAACTGCATTTACGTCTTTTTATTTTATACAGCGTCTTAATGTGATACCATGAGACTATATTTAAAACATAAATACTGTAGAAATGGCATTATTAATAAGACATTTTAACTCTGTATTTGTTAAAAAAATTAAACTTTTAAAATGATTAATGCACAAATTCCACTCGTATTTGCGCAGTTAGTTGCAGCACAGTATAAAGGCATTTCTGAACAACAAAGAGTATTATTTACTATGGAATAAAGCAAAATAAATCAGCAACCTTTGCAGAATTTCAGCCAAGTGTTTTGTTTTGAACTTAATTCTAAACTACCAGGACATCCCAGAATGTCTAGCGCATACTATTACACTCTTAACTATGTAAATATTAAAGAGTCGACAGCCCTTGGTCGTAACAAACTTTGCTGTGTCTTAAAATTATTATCTAAAGCTCTTTTTTTTAAAAGAATATAGCAATATTAAAACTTGAATCAGTATCTTTATTTCTAATAAATTTTTAGCTTTTTAAAGTCTGATATAATGCCAAGAAAAAACTTCTTGACTTTTTTTCGTGACGGTCGCAACGCATTAATTTAATAAACATATGCTTTTTTTAAACACAGTTAGAAAAATTTTTTAGAAGCAAAATTCTACATAATGTTTAATATTGTAATAAGGTTAAACTTAAAAATAATAGTTACATAATAACGCACTACATTATATATATATATATATATATATATATATATATATATATATATATATATAGGTATTGTGGTTTATCCTCCTCCGGCTAGTTGCCATACAGAGGCCACATTACCAAGGCCCGCAAAGACAAGTTTGGCTCCCCAAGGAGCGTCAAAAACGAAGATATGTTAGAGTGAAAGACGAAGAAGAATTAGAAAGATAGCATAGAGATAGCGGACAGAATTGCACACGTTATTAGAAGGTGCAATACGTTACTATAATAATCTTTTGAAATTAGAAATAGAAGTTATTAAATGTTGGTGGTTCATCATGTAGTGCATTTGAGAAAGGCATGCTTTTAAAGTAAGTATAATTTTCCTATAAAAAGAGCATTTTTAATACCACCATTATATCTTTTATATTGCATATTTGATGTACGTAAATATATACGCTAGTCACAACAATCCAGCAAAACTTTATTTTTAAAAATAAACTTAGTATTGAGAAATTTGTATTTATTGATGTTTATAAAATAGTTTTATATATATATATATATATATATATATATATATATATATATATATATATATATATATATATATATATATATATATATATATATATATATATATATATATATATATATATATATATATATATATATATATATATATATATATATATGAATTTCATAACTCATCAAAAAAAAAAACATCACCGGGAGAAAATATTTGTTGCGCATGTATGATGATTGTGATACTTATGTTATTAATGTGCTCAGGTAGTTAGTCCTAATAAGTTGCGAGTAGTCTAAAAAAAAGTTGTCTGAAACTTAATAAATAAATAGCTATATTAAATATATAAGAAAGTCCTGCTACTCAAAAAGGTGCTGCTGTAAATGCAAAAAAAAAAAAATGCCTGTACCTAGAAAAAAATTTTAAACTTTCTTTTGACAGTAAAAAGCTTTTTTTGCGACATTTATTTTTTTACTAAAAATATATGCTGCAGCTGTTATTTTTTACGCTAAGAGAAGATTTTAAACTTTTCAAAACAACACTGATGACAGCGCATTTAACTACTGCGTTATTAATGAAACGCATTTAGCAGAAAAGCAAAGCTAATTAAAAGCCTCTTATAAGCTCTACGTATGCAGAAAAGGTGTGCATATTAAGTTTTTTGCCCTTAAATTTTTTTAAGAACAAATTATTTTACTAAATAATAATGAAGTAAAGAAGGAATAGATATGGAAATTTTTGGCTAGAAATATGTAAATTTCTAAAGACCTGTATTTTACGGATCCGGAAAGCTAGGATATATATGGAAAAAATATAGAAAAGTTTGGTTTCCAATAGATATACAAATAAATGTATTTTTACGGGGCCTATCTCGGCTAGTTAATAATTATTGATATTAATGAAACTAGTTAGTGAAATGGATAATACAAATCAAAAATTTATAAATAAGCAGATGTATTTAAATAATATAAATGAAATGTAACTTGCAAAAACAAATTTGATAAAATATATTTCTATTTACAATTTTATAATGTAAAAGAGTAAATTTATTAAATATTTTTATACGAAAGTTTATAACTTTTATTTTAAGAAGCGCTTATGGATCCTTCCAAAAACCTGACGAAGGATATTTTTGATTTTACTATTGGTGACCAAAAAGAACTATTCGAAATAAGACTCAAAGTTTGAACAAAGAGAAAAAAGAGCCTTTTAAATAATGTATGAACTTATTTTGTTTTTTACGTTTATGTTATGTTTTCTGATAAATTAATTTTACTAATAAATTTTATCAGATAATTAATTGTTGTCTATTTTTATAGTTTTTTCTCTGGAGCGAGAGAGAACTCTAACTACAGTAGTTCACGTCCATAAGACGTCGGGTGTGCATCGATAGGAAATCTTAGGTGACGTCCTAATTACGCGTATATTTCAAAATAAAACCAAAAATAAGACGTCCTATGGACGCCCCAGTGGTTATAATTGTCTTTAGGAAATCCGTAAGACGTCGGTCGTGCGTCTATAGGAAGTCTCTTATGACGTCCTAGTTATATGTATGTTACGTCTTTTTGAACGGACGTAACAAATTTAAATTGACTCGTCCCTGGAACGTTTACCCGTCTTCTAATTGAGACTTCCAAGATCCCTGCAACTGCAACTTGATATTACGCAATATTAAAAAAAAATACACATGCGTTTTTTAAAGAAGAGTCTCGGTATGAAAATATTATAAATCTAATTTGAAAAAAAAAACATTTTATTTTGTTAAAACAACATTCCTACTAGACTTATTTAATAACTTTTAAGTTAATAAGCATTCAGTTAATGAGCATATTGTTTGGGTCATGAGATAAGCCATGATAATTTAGTCACTAAAACAACTTTACTTTTTAGTAAAAATATATAGTTATATAGTTTATAGGGTTAGTTTATTTTATAATTTTTTATTTTAGAAACTTACATACTAAAAATACTACGAACTTTACGGAATAAGTTTTGTTTCAGTAATCATTGCGGCTATTTTTTTTAAAAGATTTTTTCAATGATCAATAAAGAAAAAATGTAAAGTAAAAACATGTGTTTAGTTATATAAATAACATAAGACTATAAAGAAGTATTTTCCTGATAAGTAAAAAAATTAAACTACATACCAAAATGATGTATTTTTGAACAAACATTTTAAAACTGTTACTGTTTTAATAAAAAAAATATTAATAAAAACTTTATTTAGCTACTATATGTTAAGGTATATATAATCTTTTATGAGTATGCATTTATTTATATTTAATAACTGTTTGACAGTGTTGTTATTAAAATATATGAGGTTGTTGTGGACCTGTTGTAGAAAACTAAAATAGTGGTTTAATAATATTTAGTTTAAATTATTAATAAAAAACTTTAACATCTCTATAAAATTAACAAAAATTTGATTCATTCATGTTTTTACCTTTGCATTTGTCTTTCAATTTAAAAAACGCCAAATGACTGATTTAAAGAACATAAATAATTATATATTGAAAGTAAGACTAGTGGCAATGCTTTTACAAAAAAAAAAAAAAAAATATATGTATATATATATATATATATATATATATATATATATATATATATATATATATATATATATATATATATATATATATATATATATATATATATATATATATGTATATATATATATATATATATATATATATATATATATATATATATATATATATATATATATATGTACATACATATATATATATATATATATATATATATATATATATATATATATATATATATATTTATATATATATATATATATATATATATATATATATATATATATATATATTTATATTTAAATAAATATATATATATATATATATATTATTATATATACATATATAATAATATTATAATATATATATATATATATATATATAAATATATATTTATATATATTTATATATATTTATATATATATATATATATATATATATTATATATATATATATATATATATATATATATATATATATATATATTTATATATAAATATATATATATATATATATATATATACATATATATGTTAATATATATATATATATATATATATATATATATATATATATATATATATATATGTATATATATATATATATATATATATATATATATATATATATATATATATATATATATATATATATATATATATATATATATATATATATATATATATATAGATTTAATTTATAAAGGTTTAAATGAGATTAGAAAATGCGACAGCTTTATAAAGTTCAAAAACTAAATAATACACGAAATACACAAAAAAAACATAAAAATGTTGTTTGGATTAATCATAATCATAAAAAAATTGTAAAAAGCGAATATTATCCAAAGTCACGTTTGTAACATCCAATAATAATCAACTAACGCATTTTCAGCAAATATTGTTCGTTTGTTTCATCTTTTATGGTTTCATCATACTTGCAAACTAATCCCTAAACAACATATTTTACAAATTCAGTAATTTTATGTTGTGTAAGAATGTATTTCTATATTTCATCACAAAAAAAATTGCCTTTTAATTACTTAACGCATGTCATTTAGCAACGCCAGATATTAACTACAACTACATTGGATTGAATAACTTAACAGTAAATAACTAATTAAACATCTAATTTAATACAACATTATTATATAACGTATATACAAACATATATAACGTATATATAACATAGAACGTATATATAACATAGAACGTAACTTTATGTTAAACTGAACATTAATATTGTATTTATTTTAAAGATTTAGTGTCTCGTATTTAAAAAAAAGTAAATTTAAATGAAACAAGAAATACTAAATAAATAATACTAAACAAATCATAATTAAACAAAAACCAAAATGTATAAATCAAAATAATTAAGCAAATAAACTAAAAACAAAACAAATCAAGCGTATAAATATAAGCCCAGCAATCATTTCGACGTAAATATAACGTCGAAATTAGGTTAAACTAACGTTGTTTTGACGTTGATTAATAGTAATGAATTGAAAGACGGAATGACGTAGAAATCTGACAACAAAACACCGTCTATTTTCGACGTTGAAAATCGAATATGATTTGTCGTCTAAATGCTGTTAAGTTTCGACGTCAAATACATGGCAATATTTAAATTTAAAATAACGTAAAAATATTACGCATTATAGATGTTAAACATTAACGTCGCATTTTGGTTACAGTTAAACGTCGCACACTAGTTAAAATTCATAGGAGAAACAACGTTGAAATTATTGGCCGTATGAATTAAAAAACCCGAATAAAGTTTTATTAAACTAAAAGTATAACAACGACTTATAAGTTGTTATGATATCTCTATTTTAAACTATACTTTGGAGTTATAATAACAACAAAATATACTAAAAATAAAATAAATTTAAAGAAATATATATTGACTAAAAGTATAATTGTATTTTAATACATGTATAAACAAATGCGTTACATAAACATTTCAAAATATCATTAAATAACATTTTTTTCGGTAAATTTACGTCCACCTTTTCTCTTTGGCGCATGCTTAAGGTGCTTTGAAATGGCATCGTCAACATCCTTCTCATTGCAATTAAGAGCGTTTGCTAGAAAAAAAGCATATTTTTATTTTCAATAACTTAACAACTAAAAAAGAAAGCCGGTCTATAATTTTCTGTTTACCAGCACTACTGACTTTTAAGGTGGTTTGTTTTATGGTTTTATCACTTTTTTCCCAGAAAAATAAGAAAATCTTTAAATTAAAGAAACAAATCCTTTTATAAAAAAAGTCCTTCACTTGCTAACATTTTTTGTAATTGTGGACAGTGAAGCAGACAGCTGAGGATAGTTGTGGGCACTGTGGATAGACATTTTAGTTTGCTTGGTATTCTGTTTAAGAAAATTTAGTGTAGGGGCGGGATAGATGCATACACCATTTTGAGGGAACTAAATAATTTTATTTTTATTGAAATTATTATAAAGTATTTAAGACCATAAAAAATATACACTTGACAGTTTTAAAATACATTTATATGACTAATTATAGTAAAAACAATTAATATACCTATTTAAAACGTTTGCCGTATTTTCTTTTACATTCACACCACCAACTTTATATATATATATATATATATATATATATATATATATATATATATATATATATATATATATATATATATATATATATATATATATATATATATATATATATATATATATATATATATATATATATATATATATATTACTAAGTTTAATACATAATATATAATATGAACTATGTATTAAATTTAGTGAACTTTGTGTGAAAGATTCCACTAAATGGAAAACTTTGTTGTAAATAAAACAATAACTAACAAATTTTTGTTTAAACTAAATATCTACTAATTCTTCCTCTAAAGCTTGAAACTCTGCCATATTTTGGCGCTGAATCAATTCTACATCTAACTCTAATCTGGCACGCGCTTCTGATTTTTGGTTATCTCGAGTTTCTTTTAAAAGGAAGACACCTTTTTTCTTGAACGTTGAACACAATGAAAAAAATTATTTTATATCTATTTACAAATCAATAAGAAAAAGATGTAACAAAAAATACAAAATAAAAAGTTAACTTACCTTTTTCTGACATTGGGTACTCCTTTCTGCCACCTACACTTGACATTGCCAGATCAGCTCAAGAAGAAAAAGATTCACTGCAATTTGGTGGTGACCTAGAACGCCTCTTTTTACTTTGCAAACTAGAAGTTCCTGGTATATTCCTTGAGTGTGTTGATTTTTGGAACCCTTATGATAAAATAAATGTATAATATATAATCAAATATGAGAATCGATAAATGACAAATATAAAATAATTAATTAGAGCTAAGTTAACTTTTCTGACACAGAGAATTATCTCTACTCGACAAAATCATAACAGGTTAAAATGGTTATGAACATACGTCTCTCTTGTTATTTTCATTTTGTATAATTTTCCTTTTTTTATGTGACCTTATGTGTCTGGAAAAATCTTGAACATAACAGTTATTTCACCTTCAGCTGAATTTAAATCAGTAGTGAACTCATATTCTTCACAAAGATTTTTATCATCTATATAGATTTTTTAACACAACAACAATTTTCTTCCATTATATTCGAATCTCAATTTCAAACAAAATACTTATATCCATAAATCTTTTCTTTACAAATTAAGTAATTTAAATTAATTAGCTCTAAAATGGAAAGATGAATTGTTTAACCAAAAAATAGATAAATAAGCAAGTCTACCTGATGAAAATTTAATTTTTAACAACTTAAACTTTAGCCAACCATTTGTTGGTTGGTCTCTCTTATAAAAGGCTTTCATAACATTTACGCCTGAAGGCCACCATACAAAACCACCAACTACCTAAGCGCTTGGTATGACTCCCTCTTTCTCGGTACTTCCCTCTAACCAAACTGCCAGCATCCATTTTTTGCAGATATGGAAAAAAATTATAATTTTTACATAAAATCAAAAAAAAAAAAAAGAAAAAAGAATTTGAACATTTTAAACTATAAACTGTTGATAAATTAATTATTAGTTTGAGCTATGTACCAAAGATAAATTATAGCGCTATTACTTTTCAGCATCATGAAGCATCGGGAATAGAGCATAACCTCCTTTGTATTGAAGTGACACAACTTTTCTTTGAAGTTCTTGTCTTTCCACAATTCTTCTCATTGTTCTAGTAAAACTAAGAACAACACCAATCTGTAATATTTTGGATTCTGCTGGTGAGGTAAATATATTATCTATATCACGAATTTTCACCACATCACATACATATTTTCCACAATTTTTTATTTCTCTAATAAAAGCAACGTTTTTGTTTGTTAACAGAAAACAATTATCCTTTGATTTAGTTGAGTTTGTAGTGAAAAACCTCTGTTTAAAATAGCATTTATCTTTTATTTTATCAAATTCTGCTTGTCTATTTGTCACTTGCACAACAGGATTGCTGCTTTTCTAACATAACCTTTGAGTTTTTGCATGTAGTTTTCAAATTTAAAAAATGATACATCATTGAGAGAACAATTGAAGATGTTAACATCTTCATTCAAATGAATGAGCCCATGAACATTGTAATTAACAAATGTATCTCCATATATTAAAGAAGCATTACTTACAAAATAATTTA